ATTTCTAAATTATGAACGATGTAAAGTTTGAAATGAGTGAGGTGTCGAATTTTGTTTTCCTCTTGCGCATACGTACCACGATTGCAATCTATAGGCATCAAGGGACCTCTTTGGCATCAGAATTGGCTGATCAACGTCTTAGTGTCAAGTCATGTTTAAGTATGTGATCCGCTTGTCTTCCAAAATACTTGTATGACAAAGTTTAAGTATCCATGTTACGATTTGCATCAGGCCTCGAATATGTTTTGTACCATAGTGCAAAGATCAATAACGTCTTTGCGCATAACCTGGTTCAACGACTTCGACAACTGAACAAAGTAAGATGAGTGGCATCGTCGACGACATCGGACCTGAGTTTGAAGATCACTTTCGAGTCTTCCATCTCTGTCGCAAACATCAAACTATAACAGAAGATACAAATGTACGCAACAAGCGAGTCGATCTCGGCATATACTCTGTATTTGAAACCTGCGTTTCAAGGGATCGAAGAAAATTGAAGCGTGCTACTACTCGCAGTGATAATCTACTTCTACAATAGATCGCGCTGTCTCCGTAGAATGTGTCCAACACTTCCGCTATAGATTCTACTTCTATTTTGCAACATTCACAGTGTCACGCACTCTCTCAGCACTAATGCAAGCATGCGCTAGGCGAACGTACACATTCTGCTCAATGACCAAAACAACATCACTTGCTAAAAGTATCTAGCTGCGGCCCACCGATGGGCTGGTATCGATGACACACCACATTCCATCATCCTTTGAACAGTGCGTTATTTGTTTAAAGGCCAGTACACCGCACACTTCCGCGCAGAGAAACTCGCCGCTTGCCGAACGGAATGTCGATGACAAATTTTCACATAATGTGGTATGATTGTAACGGGGTGAATCGTTACATAACAATTTATAAGAAATTGTTAATAGAATATAACTATAAGAGTTATATTCTCAGAATATTGTCATAAGGACAAATATTCTGTAGCGCTTACGAGTAGTTCTTAATTGGTTGATATAGGCCATTATATCAACCAACGAAGACGCGCCACGACAGACGCACGCAATGAGTGGTGAGCAGATAACTGATTTACACATTTGTATTTAGACATAGTTAGATGAAGATAAATAGTGATTTATTGCAGACATTAACTATTATAAATACAGTTCTACTTTTTACTTTAACCAAGTACTCGCTTCTTCTACCGTCTTCCTCTGCACGTACGAGTGTACGTGAAGTTACGAGGCACCGCCTTATTCTGTCATCAGAATAAGTAGCTTGTACTGTCACCAGTACAAGCTTCAGGGTGCCCCGTTACAATGATTGCATATAAGCAACTCGGGCTTGACAAAATGCCTACTGATCTTTCATCCATAAGTATCATTGCGCGCTCTTCACGATGCAAGATATTGACTTGCAGTATCTTGCACGGAATACCCATAGCTAAGAAGTGTCAACAGCTGCATCGGTAGAGACCGTTGAGAAGCCGGAAGTTAAACTCCCTGTAGGCGGGTTGCAGTACCACACAGTGCCTAAACGCACAAGGCAGTTCATTGCAACCGGCCTCAAGTGTCATGCCAATACTGTCTATCAAGTGCAGCGTTAGTCGCCGTGTTTGTGAATGATAAAAATGCCGCAATATTTTCTTCACGATCTTTCCATTTTACCCAAACAAAAATGCGCTACTCGGAGGATGCAATCATTACGCGCAACGTTTGGCGGCATTTGCGCCTCCTGACTTGGTCCTTTGCCATCGTATCCAGCGATATGGTTTGGACTGCCACGTTCTACACGTTTACTTTCACATTTACTACAATAGCAATGTACTAGCTCTCCATCTTTATACCATTCTAAAAAATCTTGATTTGAACGTGTACGCACCGAACACGGTAAAAACCAGAAGCGATGCCCTGTTTGCATGGATGAAGACATCGAAAACTAGCTCAGATGAAGGCTGATAGTCGTATCCACACAGATTCGCTGAGAGTCTGCTCGTTGCTTTCATGGTGTGGCACGGCAATGAGTGGGGATGTTGCCCTTTTGGTTAGCCACGATCACATCAAGACTGGTTGGTACGGACGTGTTGCAGCGCTGCAGAGGTTCCGCGTTTCCACGCGTGATCTACGGTCACTGTTTATGCTGAATATAGCTGACAGACATGGCGTTGGCTCACACGCTTCAGTTTTGTGGTGTCTCCGACTAATCGTTCAGCAAAGCAAATTGTGCAGACTCGAGCTCAACAGCACATTGATCATAATCCGAACGACTCGTGACGACTAGTTCGACCATCAAGAAGACAGAGTCACGTTTGTTTGCATTGCGATTTGTGTTCCCTGTGTGTTGCCGTAGGTGCTATGAAGATAGTCTGAACGGGTGCATGTAAGAAACGACGTGCTGTTGTGGTTGCCGACTTACAAAGAATCCGACCACTCCATGTGTGATGACTTCTCGTTCACTAGGTAAATTGGAAACTGAATTAATGTAGGTCCTTAGTTCGCTACCCTGTGCTATTCTAAGCCTACCCTTCTGGATCCTTCTAGACGCTTCTTCAGTGACGTCATCTAATGACGTCAGCTGATGACGTCAGACTGTGACGTCTTCCAATGACGTCAGACTTATCCTTTTTTTTACTTTTTACGCTGTAATTACTCCTGTACTAGGTTGTACGTACCTAGCGGCCTGACATCTCCCTGTACTTAAATTCGCGTTGGCCGTCTCGAAAATCTTGGACTAGTTGCTGCCAATGCGAAACGTGGCGGATGGATCTCTCGCGCTCCCAAGTACTGTCACACTCCGGGAGGCCATGCCATTTGACTAGCCATTCTTTTTGGCGATTGCGCTGACGACGACTAAGCAAGCTTTCCACAATGTGTAGTTGCTCTCCGGTGTCTGGCTCTACTATAACTGGTGCTGCTTTCGTAATTGGTCGTCCAGCGAACTCGGAGGCATTTGGCTTGTATGGGAAGAGTAGGTCAACGTTGAATGAGGAGTGCAGTCTCTTCATATGTCGTGGTAGCTTTAACTTGGCTACGTTCGGATTGACCATCCTGGTTATCTCAAACGGTCCCACTTTTTTTGATGCCAGCTGCGCTTTCTTTAGATCAACGTGAGCATTCACTGTTCTAAGCGGTAGGTTCTTGGCATCCAACAGAACTAAGTCACCTACTTTGAAAGTAACGCTTCTTCTTTTCGAGCCGTAGTGCTTCTTTTGCCTTTCCTGGGCTTGTTCCAGGTTTTCGCGTGCCTTGCGTACTAGTTTTTTGACGATCGTTGGCAAACTTGGAGGCAAATTCTGAAATTGAATGGGAGCCCAGATCAGCGTGGCCTCCGTATTCATGCGAAATCAGATTGGATACCTTTCTCCCAGTATCGATTTCGAACGGGGTGAGCTTAGTAGATGCGTTCACCGATGTAGCGTGCGCGTACTCTACAGTACCCAGTAGTTTGACCCAATTGTCGCCACTGTACGATACCAGGCAGCGTAAAGCGTCTTCCAACACTAAGTTTTGGCGCTCCGTTTGCCCATCTGATTGCGCTCTATGAGCGGTTGTCATGCTTAGCTTGACACCCATTATATTCATCAGTGATTTTTAGAAGTTCGCCGTGAACTCTGGATCCCGATCGCTGATAATAACCTTCGGCAATCCATGATGTCGGACTACAGCGTCGAAAAATAGATCTGCGGTGTCTTTCGAATCGGCAGTCGTATGTGTAGGTGCATAAATCGGCCTCTTTGACAACTTGTCTACGACGACGCAAATAGCATCATAGCCTTCCGACACGGGCAGCCCAGTAATGAAGTCCATTGATACTAATTCCCAGCATTCCTCCGGAACGGGAATAGGAATCATTAATCCTTTCTTCCGCTGGCTGTTAGACTTCCATCGCGCGCATGTTTCACATGTCTCCACGTACTTTTGCACGGTTTCAAGTATCTTCGGCCAGTAGTACCATTGCTTTAGCTTTATGTAAGTTCGGCGCACTCCTGGATGTGCCGCTGTGGCTGCATCGTGAAACTCGTATAGAATCTTCGTCTTCATTTCTGGTATGTCTGGGATGCATATATGTTGCATTGCCTCGTCTTGTTTGACATATATGAGTCCTTTGTCGATTACGAAGTTGTCCTTCGATTGTTGAGTTCTCCAGATCTTTTGGAAAATTTTGTCTGTGTGATATCCTTGCTGGATAGTTTTTCGCACTTTGTCACTGAGATGTGCGCGCACCACGTGAAACGCAGCGTTGTGGATTTGCTCCTGAGCGATTCCTATCGGACGAGACTCCCCCCGCAACTCCACATCGTCAAGTAAGAGGTGTGCGACTTCGAGCGGAATGGACCGCATGAGAGCGGAGTGAACCATGTGTTGCTGCAAAAGGTGAGAGTTGAGGGCACAAGCATCCGTACATTCATGTACGACGTGCGACAGATCGGGAACTGGGCACGTAGGCACAGCGCGCACGCTGGAGGGATCTGCGGATACGGCCGGTCGAGATAATGCATCGGCCACGACGTTAGACCGTCCTTTAACATGATGTAAGACAAAGTCGAACTGGGAAAAGAACGTCAGCATGCGTGCCATCTTGGGCGACACTTTAGGATGGTGGAGCATCCATTTGCACGCTGAATTGTCGGTGTAGACTGAAAAGTGTCGTCCGTGGAGATACGGGTGCCATTTTTCTAAAACAGTCTTGATTGCTAGCAGCTCTTTTTCATGAGCGGGCCATTTTAATTCGTGGGGGCCCAGATGTTTCGAATAAAATGCGATGGCGTGGTCGCTATTATTGATGCGCTGAGAGAGGACACCGCCCATGCAGAACCCAGACGCATCCGTAGTGACAATAAAAGGGTGCGTAAAGTCTGGCAGCTTTAGCGTCGGAGCCTGCTGAAGTGCGAGTTTTAACGCGTTAAATGATCGCTGTTGATCCTCCCCCCAGCTCCAGCGAGTCTCGTGTTTGGTTAATGCTCGAAGAGGACGTGAAAGCTTGGCAAAATCGCAGATGAAGCGACGCTAATACCCAGCCAGCCCGAGAAAACTCAGCAGCTCCTTGCGACACGTCGGAGCATGAAACTGTGCAATAGCATCGGTCTTCTTTGGGTCGACCTGCAGACCTTCGTCGGAAACCATATGCCCTAAAAATGCAATCTCGTTACGACCAAACGCACATTTGGAGAGTCGAGTATAAAGCTTCTCCTTGCGTAACACGGCGCATACTGCGCGAACGTGGCCGACGTGGTCCTCCATTGTACGGAAGAAGATACATATGTCGTCAAGATACACCACGACAAAGGTTCCAAATTAGTCGAACAACGTTAGCACAAGCCGCGACCAGACACCAGGCATTCCAGATAAACCCATGGGTGCTACACACCATTGATACGTTTCCTTATGGGTGCGAAAAGCCGTATAGGGTCTACTTGATGGTAAGACTACCATTTGATGGTACCCTTGCGCAAGATCAAGAAGCGTAAAAAACTTACATCCCACCATGCGGTCGAACAGTTCCTCGATCAACGGCAAAGGAATTTTTGCCACGACAGACATGCTATTAACATATCGGTAGTCAATGACCCATCTAATGGGGATCTTGGAATTTCCGCTGCGGAGCCATTCTGCGCGTTTAGGGAACCGCCCGGTTACAGGATCCTTTTTTGGAATCCCAAATATGTTTGAAACCCATGGAGAGTTGGACACCTCGATCCATCCTTTCCGTATATTCTCCTCCACAAATTGTTGGAGCGCCTCCTGCTCCACTTTCGATAGACGGAAGGGGGCTTGAGAGCTCGGCACCGCATCAGGCTTCAGTTGTAGCTCAAAGTTGACCGATCGCGTTGGAGGCATTACCTCTGGAAGTTGGTCGGGGAATACGTCCTTGTACTCGTCTAGCACTGGCTGTAGCTCGTGCGGTATCTCCTGATGGTCTATGGTGGTAACCTTTAATTGATATATTTCCTCGTAGGCTCCGCGAGTCATCTTCGCATGAAATGTCGGCCCGTCCACGTCTTTGAACGTCGTGTGTGCTGCAACTTCAATTTGTTGTGTACGCCAGTTGATCTGGGGGTTGTACATGGTAAACCATGGTTGACCAAATATCAAGTCATGTGTATCCGGTAGATCCCATTCTGTAAACTGCATCTTAGGGAACTCCATACCGTCGATTAAAATGGTATCTTCCACCCGCTTTGTGGGTTGACTTGATGTCCAGGTACCATCAAAACGTCGTGCTTGTACCATCTGTTCGCTGAGAACTGTGGACGCCAGACCGGGTTTGATCAGATTCGTTGACGCTCCAGAGTCAATCAAAATCTTGACGGGTTTATTACCAATAACACCATCACGAACGAGTAGTCGACTTTGCGCTGGTATGTCCGCCCCCGAGCTACTTGAGTGGATGGCAATGAATGGTACCTCAGAATCCTTTTGTACCTCCACTGCATTGATCGTGACTCGGTCGTAAACACTTGTGTCCTGGTCGTCCTCACGACTGTCCACATTGTTTACATGCTGACGATGTACCTGATGTTGATAGTTCCGTCCAGCATTAGTGTTTTCTCGAACAGAACGTGTGGGGCGCTGATGACACTGTGCGGAGCGATGATTCGGACTACCGCATTTGAAACACAAATTTCGTCGACGACATTCGTCCCGAGAAGGAATCTGCACAGTGCTAACGTCCATTGGCTCTGGGCCAGTGTTGGATTGATATCGACGATTATTGTCGTATGACCGGTACCTAGGTTTATCCTGTGACCTGCCCCGGGAATACCTCGTCGGATGAGAACGGTCAAAGTCTAACGCAACAGTAATAGCGTCTGACAACGTTGTACAGCGACGGTACTGGACCTCTTCTCGCGTACGACCAGAAAGTCCGCGTAGGAAGTACATAATCCTGTCCAGTTCGCTCATGTCTTGGACTTGAGTTACCACGTGGCGAAACTTGCCTACATAGTCAGGGAGGTCCTTGCAATCGCGCTCTCTCATATCATTCATTTCTTCCCGCAGACGCTCTTGTAGATCAGCTGGAACGAACTCCCGTTCTATCTTGAAGAAGAAGTCGTCCACGGTTGTGATGTACTGCTTTTGCATGACATACCACTGAGCAGCTCCGTGCTTTAGTGTGCCCCCCAAAATGGCTAGTATGCGGAGAGAGAGCTCATGACACTTCCAGTTCACTCCTTTTGCGAAGAAGTATTGCTCTACTTGCTCCTTGTAGAGAAGGAACGATTCGTCCAATCTGCCACCATACGTCGGAAGCTTTACACCTCCAAGCTTTATTTCCGATAATTGTGTGAACCTTTGAAACTGCTCTAGCAACAGCGCTTGTTTCTCCATTGTCGCAACCATCGATTGCAGCAGTTGTGCATGCTGATCGGACAACATTGGGGTGGACATTATGTAACGGTACAGAACTAACTGATATTAACGATTAGTTAATTGTACTTGGCGGAGCTATGGTCTTGGTACTTCTCTTGATAACCTTTGATCCGGGCTTCCAGGACTTAGTTGACTTGGCAGTCGGTTGTTGACGGGCGAGCACGACCTTGTACCCTGGTGGTCCAGAATACGGGACTCGGGCGGTTTTGCTTGTGTGCTTGTAAATCTCGCGTGAGATGCGCAGGCTCACAGTGCTCTACAAGCTGAGCAAGTCGCTAGCGTGCGCCACAAGCCGAGTCTTGATGTGTTTGCGCGAGTCGGAGCGCTGAGCCGTGTCCAAGTGCTTCTCGAAGCGGACAAGAATGCGTCTGGTGCGACGGATTGCTTCCAGTAGGTCCGCACGGCACTTGTCGGCTGCGTCCGGCTTTGTCACGGATAGCTGTGCCAGCGAGTCGTTAATGTCGAGTGGCGTAGGTTGCTTGCGCGGGTGGCGGGTCATGAACCGAAGTACTAACCTTCCGTTAACCAAACTGACTTATTCCCGAAACGAGTCGATTTATAGTCAATAAGACCACGACCTCGATAAAGGTAGCAGTGATAATGGCCCGGTAGGATTTACAGCCAATGAAAAGGAGTCCCTGCCCAAAAAAGAGATTGGGACTTACGATGGATTCTCCAGATCACTGCTCTTGAGCGACGACGACGACTACGACGGTTACTACGGCTACGACGGTTACTACGGTTACGACGGTTACGACGGCAGATACGGCAGACGGCGGGGACGGCAGACGGCGGGACCGGCAGACGGCGGGGACGGCAGACGGCGGGGACGGCAGGACGGCAGGGACGGCAGACGGCGGGGACGGCAGACGGCGGGACCGGCAGACGGCGGGGACGGCAGACGGCGGGGACGGCAGACGGCGGGGACGGCAGGATGGCAGGGACGGCAGACGGCGGGGACGGCAGACGGCGAGACCAACAAGTGCTACCAGATGTGATGACTTCTCGTTCACTAGGTAAATTGGAAACTGAATTAATGTAGGTCCTTAGTTCGCTACCCTGTGCTATTCTAAGCCTACCCTTCTGGATCTATCTAGACGCTTCTTCAGTGACGTCATCTAATGACGTCAGCTGATGACGTCAGACTGTGACGTCTTCCAATGACGTCTGTAACGGGGTGAATCGTTACATAACAATTTATAAGAAATTGTTAATAGAATATAACTATAAGAGTTATATTCTCAGAATATTGTCATAAGGACAAATATTCTGTAGCGCTTACGAGTAGTTCCTAATTGGTTGATATAGGCCATTATATCAACCAACGAAGACGCGCCACGACAGACGCACGCAATGAGTGGTGAGCAGATAACTGATTTACACATTTGTATTTAGACATAGTTAGATGAAGATAAATAGTGATTTATTGCAGACATTAACTATTATAAATACAGTTCTACTTTTTACTTTAACCAAGTACTCGCTTCTTCTACCGTCTTCCTCTGCACGTACGAGTGTACGTGAAGTTACGAGGCACCGCCTTATTCTGTCATCAGAATAAGTAGCTTGTACTGTCACCAGTACAAGCTTCAGGGTGCCCCGTTACACCTGGTAGCACTTCGTAGTCCGTCCAAGGACCGCGTTCACATCCAACATGAATATATTGGATGATGAAGATGACCAAAGCTTTCACGCTACGCGTGACGGCTACTCCCATTTGAGCGATGTCGAATGGGATGCGGTTGAACAAATGGGTTCGACCATGGGCATCCATGCTGTTAGCGTCATGCTAGAGGCTCTCAACAGAGATGCCCAACATGCTACTATCGCCAAGTTCATTCAAAATGAACTTGACGCTGAACGCGAGAAAGTAGCCTTGCTTCACCAACAAGGTTCTCAACAAGCAGAGTTGTTGAGAGAACAGGGTGCTCAACAGTTTGAACTGTTGAGACAGCAGCAGGCTGCTGCTGGCGGGTCGATGCACTCGCGTCGACCCGAGACTTTGAAGATTGACATCTCCAAGTATAGGGGGTCGAAGAAGACTCCCTCTTGAGATGGTTCGTCGAATTGGATGACGCCATAAGGGCGCGTCGCATCGACGACGGGGATATGCAAGTTGCATTTGCCCAGTCAAATCTGGACAGGCTAAGCCTTGGCATGCCTGCCGCTTGTTCATCAGATGGCCATCTGATGAACGTTTTGGAGCGTCCACAGGCGTGTGGATGTACTACGAGTGAGTGCGATGGCCTCACTTGTGGTACGGTCGTTAGTACGACTGCACAAAACCTTAGTGTACGAAACGGTTACACTTCGGAGCAAAGTTCCGGCGGCTGTGAGGAAACACAGGCTGCGCCGAAGGTCCACCACTCGAATAAGTCGGGTGGACTGGGACAAAGATGTATCCCTAGCGGGGAACATCTAGAAGAGAAACAATCGATCGCTCAGGTTAAGCGAAACGATAATCCTAGATCGACTGGAGAGTCTTTCGTAGAGGATCTCGCTGTGGTTGCGCAACCCCAGCTAGAGGAAATAAAGGGAATAAGTCCCAAGATTACAAATACGGCGGAAATAAGTTCCCCGAAACCCGCGGGAATAAGTCCCCGGGAAGACGAAGGAATAAGTCCTTCGAAGCCTGAGGGAATAAGTCCCCAGGAAATGACAGAGACATTGAATGTCATAGTCAATAACGGATCATGTGTAGGCGCTTATACACTTGATCTGATTGCGCCTCCGAAGTTAACTTCGGAGATCACTCAGTTGCCAACGCTCGAACATAAAAGGTTCTTGCGTGATCTGCGTAGTGGCAAAGTCAAGCAGATCTGCATACTCGTCGCTGACGACGAGTGTGTAACCGACATAAGGTCAGCAACAGTGTTCACTGAGAACGAGAGAGTTCTCAGTAGTTCATCTATGGACGAGAGTGTCCTAGATGAAAAGACACGAATTGAGCGATATGACTCCCAATCATGGGAATCGCTCAAGAAAAATCCTCTCTATGAAGATTTGGTTGAATTCATAGATGTATTCCCTGAAACTGTTCCGTGCGAATTACCGAAGGATAAAGGTATTCGACACGAGGTCGAGCTTAAACCAGGCTCGAAGTACTGTGTCATGAAGCAGTGGCCACTGCCTCGTGAACAAGTACTTGCGATCGACAAGTTCTTTGCCGATCGTTTAGCTGCGGGCCATGTGAGGGAATCAACTTCCCCACATAGCTCTCCGACCTTCTGTGTGCGAAAAGCAACAGGAGGGTGGCGGATAGTGCACGCGTTCAACAAATTGAACGCTGCAACGGTACCGGCTCAGACGCCGATACCGAGGAAGGACGTAATCATTGATGGTATGTCAAAGAGTACCATCTTTTCGTCCATGGATTTGATGGATGGCTTCTATCAAATCCTTATGCGGGAACGGGATATACCCTATACCGCAGTTAGCACGCCTAGCGGCATGCTCTGGGAATGGCTAGTAATGCCACAAGGGCTCAGTAATGCCCCTGCCACGTTCAACAGATGTGTATCACATCTGTTGAGATCAGTACGAGAATTCGCGCCGAGTTATTTCGATGACGTATTCATCCATAGTCGAGCTATGGATGGAAAGTCGGACGTTGAGGTTCACAGGTACCACGTCCGACAAGTTCTTACAATCATGCGAGAGCATCAATTGTATGCTAACCTCAAGAAGTGTATATTTGCAGCAAGCGAAATACCACTTCTTGGGTGCATCGTTGGTAAGAACGGTGTACGTCCTGATCCCGAAAAGATCAAGGCGATCACCGACTGGCCTGTGCCGGTTGATGTCAAAGGTCTTCGAAAATTCCTTGGGCTAGCGGCGTATTTGCATAAGTATTCACGCAATTACGCCGAGATGACTGTGCACCTCTCTCGTTTGTTGAAAAGAACGAGAGGTGGTTATGGAACGCTGAATGTCAGCGCTCCTTTGAGGGTATCAAGCAGAGCTTGATACAATCCCCAGTCCTAGCAATAGCCGATCAGGACAGGCCATTTCATGTGGTCTGTGATGCCAGCGATTTCGCAATCGGCTGTGCATTAATGCAGTACGATCTTGAAGGCGTTGAACGCATCGTCTGCTATCAGTCGCGTCAGCTGCAACCAGCTGAGCGGAACTATCCAGTGCATGACAAGGAACTCCTTGCCATGAAGTATGCACTCGCGAAGTTCAGAGTCTATCTATTAGGAGATAGACCCTTCGTTGTTTACACTGACCATGCGTCATTACGCACGGCAGTGAACAGCCCGCACCTTTCACAACGAATGGCGCGGTGGTTGTCATTCTTTGCAGAATACAACTTTACGGTCGAGTACAAACCAGGACGACTTAATGTCGTCGCTGATGCACTCTCACGTCGTCCCGACTTTGAAACAGTCGCGAAACCCAACAGTGAGACAGTCACTGTTGCGGTTATGACGTCCTCAGTCCCATCTACAACGTTGTATGATGATGTGAGGCGGGCATACGCCCAAGATGGTGAGATTGTGAAGTTGTTGACACATCTCTCCCAACCATCCCGAGAATCGTTGAAACGATTGTCGTCTGCGTATCGATCTGCATCAGATCGATACACTACTCGTAACGGTTTACTGTATTATACAGCCGTTTCTGGTGACACACCACGTGTTGTCATTCCAGATGATACTGATCTGCGTTTGCGGATCATGTTCGAGTATCACGATGCTCCTATAGGAGGACATCGTGGCCGAGAGAAAACATATCTCACGGTAAGTCGAGACTTTTACTGGCCCCGCCAGTATCAGTTTGTGCGAAAGTATGTTCGCGCATGCGAAGTCTGCCAACGAGTGAAGTCAAGTCCTTCACTGCGTGCACCTTTACAGCCTCTACCGGTTCCGGCTGAGTGCTGGGAATCCATCTCAATGGATTTCGTCTTCGGGTTACCCAAAGACGCACGCGGGAATACGGGTATTCTCGTATTTGTTGACAGATTCAGCAAAATGGTACACCTTGTGGCTGTACCAGAGACAATCACGGCAAGTGGCTGTGCTTGTGTCTTTATCGACACCATCTTCCGACTTCATGGGTTGCCCCGTGAACTCGTATCAGACAGAGATCCACGATTCACTGCTGATTTCTGGCGTTCCGTGTTCAAATCACTCGGAACGCGCTTGAAGATGTCGACATCTGATCATCCAGAGTCAGATGGTCAGACGGAACGTGCCAATCGTGTCCTTGAAGAGATACTTCGAGGATACGTACACTCCTTTAAAAGTTGGAGTGAGTTTTTGCCAATGGTAGAGTTTGCCATTAACAACTCGGTGCATGCGTCCACGACACATACACCGTTTTACGTGAATGGCTTGCGCCATCCGCGTGTACCCACCTTACTAGAGTGTAACTCTGGTTTAAGGGGGGAGGGACTCGCGCGAGCAAAAAACGAATTGGTTCACGCTCATCACGCTCTGACGAAGAGGTCATTGCGTTTGATGCCGATATCGATAACATCGATATCGAAGAAGATGA